TCTGGTGCAGGAGCTACATAGACATTATGTAAGGCCGGGAGCCCATTCATCCTCTCACTCTGCTTCTTTCTGTTGAATTGATATCTTTATTCTATTACCTAATAGTCTTAAGCAAATAATGGGTCCTGTCATAGCTATGTAGCCATTCAAATCATGGCCTTTCCATGCCTTAATAATTCTTGTGCAACTCTAAGATTATTCCCAAACTTCTTTGCTTCCTCAGGCAGTGAACATCATCAATGGTTCCATCCCTCTCCTTGATAAACAATTCTCTCTCTCTCTCTGTATTGATTTCTCCCTCTTCAGAATTGTAAAGATCTAGTCTCTCTCATAACAAAAATAAATAAATCTCATCTCATGCCGGTAACTGATTCTAGCTACCTTGCAAATTTTCTCTTTCCTTGCATGGCCAATAATTTCTAGAGTATATTCATTTACTTCCTTTTGAGTGTCTTGTCCATATTACTTGGACTTTTTGCACTCACAAGTTCAATATGTCTATCCTTGCTAAAGCTAACAATGATCAATGGTCTGTAAACTTCAGATAGAAAATACAATTCTTTGTCCTTATAAAACCTGGGCACTGTGTGACATTGGACTCAGTTTACCACTCTTGTTGCAGTTCTAGTTTCTTTTGGCTTCTGAGAACTTACTGCTTATTAAATTTACTTGGACTTCTTTGAGCACATCTCGGTCATTTTAATGATTTGCATCTTCTATTTGTATATCTCTTCCATTGATGCAGAGACCAATATGAAAAAAAAATTATCCACATTAAGGTATATATAGAAATTCAAACTACCACCTTATACTATGTTGCTAGGTCATCTTCTATTTGTATATCTCTTCCATTGATGCATTGACCAATATGAAAAAAAAATTATCCACATTAAGGTATATATAGAAATTCAAACTACCACCTTATACTATGTTGCTAGGTCATAAATAGAACACGACTGTTTATATTAGACTAGTAAATGGCCCAATCAATGAGTGTAACTTTCAGTGAACATGATAATCACTTGAAATATAGAAAAAAATTTCTATAGTTCCAGAAATATAGAAAAATAAGTTGCTAAAGAGACTCCCTACTCCATCACATAGAGAAATACTACAAATATTATAATGTAAAAAGTTTTGAATATGTAGCCCAGCACAAAAATAAAAGAAAGGGAGTCTTCAGATGCCAGCAACGGATAGAAAACTCAAAATCAGACCAATAACTTCAAAGTAATTTAATTGTGATTTATGAGACTTTCAGTAACTCTTGAAAGCTAAAACTCATCTTTTAAAAGTCCTTTTTTGTAAAGATAGGTACTCACTACGTGGACCTCCACCTGATCTCAGACTACTGGCCTCAAGAGATCTTCCTGCCGTTAGCATCCCAAAGTACTAGGATTACAAGTGTGAGCCACTACATCCCACCAAGGCCTAAAATTTGACACCATTATAAAGAAAGAAAATGTGGTTACTTATCTTTAGAAAGTAGAAGGCTTAAACAGAGTTATCTGAGTATGGCTTAGATCTTTGAAGTGCTGTCCTAGCCATTATATATTTAAAAAATAAAAAAATTAGACAAAAAAAATCCGGCTACTGACTTGGAAAACTATTTTCAAAAATCTTGCTACATTTTTAGGACAAAAGAAAAAAAAAGACTACCATAAGAAATATAGTAACAAGGTCTACTGTTTGCTGAAATATGGAGTCTAAATATATTTTATCAACATGATAATAGAAACACACTTCAGGAAATTAACACTATTTGAAGATTCTTGAAAACTCAGAATCTCTTACAAAAGCAAGCATTTTCACATCACAGTTTACAATGAACTTCCACAGACCTTTGCCAAGTTCACAAGAAAAAAAGAGGCCTTAAAAGAAATAAGCCTTCTTGAAATCAATGTATTAAATTTGAGAGAAGAAACTTATTTTGTCAACCCTTCATTCGTTTGGCAAATATTTATCAGATGTCCACTATAAATCAGAACAGGCACAGTGTGTACTGGGGTAAATAGAGAATAAACAGATAAGGATGTAAAGGAAGGAAAAGAAACTCGAGCAAAGTCCAGGATAGCAGGTGACGGAGAACAAGCTCCTGAGAACCCTAAAGGAGCCAAGGTAACAACTTACTCCCTGAATGCAAAAACTTAATGGACATGTGTTTCCTTCAGAGTATACTTACTAAAAGGGCACAATATAGAGAAGATTAGCTTATCTCCTCTCCGAAGATGACACGCAAACAAATGAGTATTTCTATATCAATTCCTAAGCCCAATAAAGATAGCACTAAGCAGAAATATATAGAATAATTTCACTTGACTTAGTGATGAAATAATCCCCAATAAGATATTGTCAAGCATAATTCAACAACAAAACAAAAACATTTTAATGTAAGCAATTTAGAAATGCTAAAATGACCCAGTATTATTCTATTAATGTTAAAATAATTCATTATATTAATGTGTCTATGGAGAAAACTCCTAAGATTGTCTCCAAGGATGATGAAAGGGCTTATAGACAAAATTAGAAGCCCAGAGCTGACACCTCCAAGACTGTCTTTCTCAAGGACCTGGGAGCCCTTCCTTTGAAATGTCATTAACATTCAGTCAGCTGAGAGACCTATCTCCCAGTCTCTTTGGGGGAGAGAACCCTAATTTCACTGGGTGCCTACTTCCATGTTGTAAAGTCACCTTCTCCAATGGCCAAGAATAAAGATAGGTAATTGGATATGGCCAAATAGCAAACACGAATGGCGTACAGTCCCTCTATTCCAGTTCTTAATAATTCTCCCAGCCATATATCGTTTCAATGGAACTGAGTTTAGACTGTGATCTGGTCTCTCTACACTATTGCAACAGTCTTGAATAAGGTCTTCCTTACCTGTTTGACTTTGTCTGGTACAAGTTTTGACTTGACGTTCCCAGCAAAAAAATGCAAACATATATACTCAAAATACTAAAAAAAATAAAAGCATGCACGACAATGCTTATAGCAGAACTCTCAAATTAAACCCCCAAACTCAAAACTAGACAGGTCTCCATCAACACTTGAATAAATACATAAGTCATGGTGTATTCATAAATCATATAATTCAGCACTAAGAAAAAATAGTCTCTATGTCTTTAGGCAAAAATATAGATCAGTTTTTATAAGCATAACATCAAGAAAATGAAGCTAGTCATAAATGAGCACCTCTTATTTGATTCAATTTATAGAAATTACAAAAGACAAGTGGCCTTAACGATCCTCTTAGAAACCAGGCTAGTGACTATCCGTGGTGGAGACAGTTTTAGAAAGGGTTACTTAAGAGGTGCTGGTGATATTCTGTTTCTTGATCAAGGTGCTAGTCACCTGGGTCTATTCAGATTATGACAATTCAGCACACTGTATGGTTGTGAAAGATGAACTTTCTTCATGGATGTTACTCTTAACGGTTTTAAAAGTCACCCAGGGATCTTGTTAAGCATGCAGGTTTCAGTGGTACATTTCCAGAGCTTCTGATTTAGAAAAACTAGGCTGGGACCGGGATAGGAGCATTTTAAAAAGCAGGTGGTCTTGGCACACTTTGAAAAATACTGTTTTTGTGGGCTGTAAGGTAATGAAACTCTAATTACAGATTCTGTCAAAGAACCAAAGTGGGGGAAAGAATAGTAACATTTAAATGCAGCAAAGGAAAAAAAAAAGCTAGTGAATAGACCTCTACTAACTCTTGCGTTTTGAGTGTATTTTTTGTAAACATAGAAGTACAGTTTAGTAAACAAAGTGAAAAGTTCTTCCTACACTACCCTAAATAAAAAAGAAAAAGTACACCATTTTCGCAAGATTCTCCTGATCATTTGTGGCTTAGGAGTGATGGCAACAAGCCCAATAACCCCGAGTTAGCCCCTGAGTGGACACTGAGCTGAGTGTGATACCGATGTAGCCTCCGTGTGTGTCCTCCCTGCATCTCTAGAGTTCACTCAGCCTTTCTGGTATCCCCTCTGTCCTTCCACCCTTTGCTCTAACTTTACAGCAAGTAGGAATGTGGCCTAGTATGTATGCTCTGACGTGGGTATCACAAACCTCTTCTGATGGTAGCTACCCTAAGCTACCAGCTTTTCAGGGCTTAGCATCCTATTTATTTAAATCTGAAAGTAGAGTCTCAGCATGGAGCAAGCCAAAGATAGCTTCATCTCATCTAAGTATAGAGGGCTGCTTATCTGAGCCACACTGTGCTAGTCAGGGAAAGAAATGACTGAACAAGATCTTGTTTTGCACACATGACTCTCTAAATAAGCAAATGACTGGAATAATTATAAATAGTCTAAAAAATACCAGAAATTATAGCTGCATGCTGTGTATAAAACAATAACAACAAAGCTATAATTTGCTGCTGCAGGTGAGAGTAAAATCTCTGTGCTTGGCTGGATCCATAAAGCTCTTCATATTCTCGCTCTCGTCCTGACGTCTTCCCTCGAACATTCTCCCTTACACGAGATCCTGTAGTTTCTCTTTAATAAATGTTGAATTCACGGATTCATGAGTTCACAGTTTTTCTGGTTTGTCTTTTGACTCATTTTAAAACTAATGGATTTGTGGTTGCCACGTTTAAATCCTCCGAAATCATCCCTGAATCATGTGATTTTTTTTTTCCGCCTTCTGCTGTCACTTTGGTTTTGAAAGAAGTAAATCAATACTGTGGCTTAAAACGGCCTGGCACTATTGTCAGTAAATATATTGCATCCAGTTACTTTTGCTCACTAACTGCTGCGTGATATAATACCAGAGTATCCTTTGCTGCACCCGAAAAAAAAAAATTGCTATTTTGAGCTGTGAACTAAGGATTGATTTCTTTGAAGATAGAATATGTATTTTATGTATTGCATCTAACCTTATTTGCCAGATTTCATGGAAAACTCCATTCTCATCTGTGTGTAATCGAGGCAGCCTTCTGCACAGGTAAAGAGTCACCTTGGTCCACTTGAACTTTTGGTAATTTTTACCTATAGTCATTTAATCAATTACAGTTGTTAAAGCCTAATGCACATGTTCAGAATGCAGCCCTTTCGTGGCAGAAAACCTCGCTGAACTCTTTAACACATTTGAGCCTTTCAGTGTCTGTATCTCCTCACCTACCACATGGAAATATTATCAATAAAGCCATTTTCTTATATTTGTATGAGACAATGCATAGGAAAATGTAAAGTGAAAAGCCATGTGCAAACGCCACTCAGTTGTCCAAAGTTAAGGGAAGATATTATTGCAAGAAGCGTGGCTGGTTTTCCTCCAGCTACTCCCCTTGTCTACTGCCCTTAAAAAGGGAGGATTTATCCAAAAGGAAACTATTGGGTCAGGCACACTGTCTGCGCCTGTCCCAGAAGATGAGAGCTCCAGGAGCAATCAGGTGATGCAGTAGCTGTACAGTGTGGCTATAAATCCTTGATCGCCAAGCCCAGGGGGGTCAACACACCCTGTTTTCCATGTCAACTTTCATTTCTGATCACCACAGAAACTCTCTGAAGCTTGTCTGCGTTTACTTTGGCTTCTGTTCCCTCAGACAACTTCTCTTATGTCCTGTTTTAAGAATACAAGGACTTGGGTGAGAAATGTCACAATCTCCCACTGCCTCAGTTAGTGATGTGCCTCCATTCAGCGTCCCTCCTTCTCTGGCAAGAAAGTGAGCCCTTAATGACTAAGAGAATGACATGAAGGTTATGTTAACCAGTTTGATGAGAGTATTTCAAAATGTATATGAAAACAGCGCACTGTACCCCATGATTGCATTAATGTACATAGTTATGCTATAAGAAATTTTTTTAAAAAGTGAGCCCTGTGACACCTCTTATAGTCTCCTACACCCCTCAAGTGAACAATTAAACATGTTAAAGTCACCCCCCATCTCAACAAAGAATGAAAACTTTTTCCTTGATAGCACATCCATCTCCAGCTAGAAATTTACCTTTCTCCTCCCCTTCACAGACAAATTTCTTCTCAGATTCATTGCTTAATGTCTCCACTTTTTAAGAGCCTACTCATTCTTCAGCCCACTGCAATCTGGCCTCTTAACACCAGCACACCCACCAACAGATCTCTTGTCTCTAAAACAAATGGAAACTTTTCAGCCCTTGTTTTCCTTGATCCCACAGTGGCTTTTGTGTCTGTTAATTTACCGCCCTTCTGTCTTTAAAAATAATTTATTGACATGGAATTCACAATGGATTTTAAACGAACAATTCAGTGACATGTAGTGCATTCACAGTGTTGTGCAACCACCACTTCTAGCTAGCTTCCAAACACTTCCATCCCTCCACAGTAAAATCTCTTATTCATTTCCACCTCGCCCTCCCAGGCCTTGGCAACCACCACTCTGCATTCTGTCTTTATGCAATTATCTATTCTGGACATTTTATATAAATGTAACCGTACAGTACATAATGTAGCCTTTTGTGTCTGACTTCTTTCACTGGGTATAATGCTTAAAAGGTGCATCCACCTTGTAGCACATAAATTGGTACTTAATTCCTTATTACAGTTGAATAATATTCTATTACGTGTATATATCACAATTGGTTTATCCATCAATCTCCCTTCTTTCTTGAAATAACCTCTTCCTTTGCTTTGTGAAACACTAACATTAAGTTTTCCTCTTAGTTTTTGCAAGCCCAATACTTAGCATAATATTCTGGAAACATTTTAGGAAATACTAATGCTTTATATACCAAAATTTCAAGACCTACCTGTTTGTCTCTATCCTGGTGTTTTTCTGAATTCCTGATCTATATATCCAACTGCTATTTGTTACTGTCACTTATCACTGACTCATATACCTGTCACCAATATACAGATGGTTCCCAACTTACGATGGTTCCACCTACTATTTTTCAACTTTACAATGGTGTAAAAGTGCTCCACATACAGTAAAATTTCTAACTTCTAATTTTGATCTTTTCCCGGGCTCCAATACACTAGATGATACCCTCTCTCAATGCTGGTAGTAGCAAGACATGGCAGTTCCCAGTCAGCTATGCAGTCACAGGGGCAAACAAGTAAGACTCCACTGAACACGGTGTACTGTGTCCCCAGTACTTTTGAATATGATTTTGCTCAGTTACAAGCTAATGTTAATATTAACATGAATGTTCAGAACAAAACAATAATATTCAGAATATGTTTAAGGGAGGCTAGGCTGAGCAATGATTCTCAGGAGGTTAAAAATAGTAAATGCATTTCAATTTATAATATTTTCAATTTGCTAGGACATAACCCCGTTGTAAGTGAGGGAGC